TTGATATCCGTAGATGTTTAAATATTTTTTGCCGCTATTTTTTCGGGAAGTCAAAATTTTTTTCAGAAATTACGTCCACATGCTTTACGATATTCCAATCTAACCGCTTTGAGTAGTTTTTTATTTTTAAAGCTGTGATTTATTTTTAATGACAAATGTAATATTAAAACGTAACACCAAATACATTGTTATTTTGTGCCGAGAATAGTGTTCAACACCGGTCATAGTTTCTTGAACAGTTTGAATTTTAAGAAAAAAAAAATACTCGTATACTGATATCGTAGACATAGTGTATATTTTTTTGGTTGCTATTCTTTCAATATCTGCAAACTATATTTATAAACTAAAAAGTATCGTTTGTGTTTGTGCCGTACGATTTATAGAGATATATTTTTGTTGCTTCATCGAAGAGTTTTTTACAGCAAATAAATGAATAACATTATTGCAACATTTAATTGTGAAACCAAAACGCACGTTCTCAGCTTGGGTAAAATATTTACTGTATAAAATCCTACTACTCAAAATACCTACATATATATTTATTTTTTTTCAAGTGAAAAAGATATGACGACAAAGCTTTAATAATATAAACGTGAAAAAAGACCGACATTAATGCAGACGCGTTGCAGTACAATAAATGCGTTTTTGAAATTCTAAAGAGGTTGGACCTGCCACTCGCGTTTATTTTCTGAGAATACAGAAGTGAAAAAAATCGATTTTAGATTAAAAAAAAAAAAAAAAAAAATAATAAAAATAAAAAATAACCTTACCACTCGTGAGCGTGACATTCCTATATAACCCAAAATATTAAATCCCACCGACGGTCTTCATTTTTTTTAAATATAATATATTATTTATTGTACTAATAAATCATAATATTTTATTTTATTATTTTACTTGGATACAGGTACTTATAATTCACATATATATCAGTTTACACATGGACATATATAATTGTATAAAATGATCTCTATCGTTGTTTTTAAGTTCTAATAATATTAACGATAATATCGGCTGTCCGCGATGTATATGTATTTGGTATATATGTTTATCATGGTATGTGCCGTGTAGCGGATAGTGCTTTAAGCGCATACCAATCAATGACACATATGAGCATATGACATGATATAATATAATAATGTTATATATATATATATCAAATCATTTTCCTCTTCGTACGTAACTCACGTACTTAGACTTGTGCATGAAACAGACCGGCAGCCTGGAACGACTTGTAGCGTAGTCTATAATATGTATAATATGTATAATATGTATCTCTCTGTATGTATATAATATTATATGAAATAAAAATAATAATTTAAATTTTATTCTACTGTACTGATTAATTTTTTATAGCCATAATTCTTTTACATTATCATAACACATTTTCAAAAGAAATCATTATTTTCTTTTTTTTTTTTTATTAATAATTTATAAATATGTATAAATTTAATTTTGAATGAGTTTTTGTAGCTAAATTATTATGATATAAGTTATAACTTATAAATAATTAAAGCAATAAAAACTATTTTTTTTTTTTCAATAATGTTGTTTTGTTATCATACCAAATAATTAAAAAATTATTTTCAATCACGTTTACACTTTTTTAGGTAATACGTTTTTTATTGTCAACAGAGCTAACATAATCAGGTGATGCATATTTGTATTATATTGGAATACTCGTATTGGACCATAATAATGAAATATTCTGTAAATGCATGTTTTAAATGTAGTGCAACTTAGATTAGATACGCCGTTTATTAGTATCAAGAGACCTATATTTATAAGGGATGAAGAAGAATGTTGACTTCGACTAAAATCAGTTTATATCTTTAAAAATACAAAATATAAAATATACTACCATATTGCCTAGGTATTTGAAATGTTTATTTTGTTGATTATTTAATTAGGCATAGATTCATTTTAAATCGAAATATTATTGATTTTTTTTTTTAGGAAGAGGCTATTAATGCTATACGATCGCAAACATTTTAAAGTATATTTCAGTTCCTGTAGTTCTGTAGAATTTTGTATCCATAAAATTAAATCAAATTACCGGAAAAAATGTAACCAACATTATTTCCAAACAAATTAAATATTTAAAAAAAAATGTATTAAATTTAAAAATTACCAAAACAACATTATTTACGACGTGTATCTCGAAAATGGAGGCTATTATTTATCGCGATTTTAATCTCATCTAATATTAGTTTATTACTGAACAAATTTTATTTTATTTTATTATGAAATTTGTTTACATTATATACTTTAAGAAACTCTTACGAAACGACCCGAACTAGGGATGGGAACTACTGACCTCTGTAATTGTTTAAAATATGAGACGAGATGCTTCTGAAACTTTGTAACGATATAACAGAATTACAAGTGTAGTTTGGTATAATTTGAAAATATAATGTAAGATTTAAAAATCAAAAATACAGTAATCTGGCATACCTAATATATTAAGTAGAATGGTTTCTAGTAAAATCGTGTCTTCTGAAGTTCAACTTATAGAATAATAGAATAATTTTGAATAGACTAAATTCATTTTAATAAAATTATGAAATTAAATTAAAAATTAAAGTCGTATTTGGTGATTAAATTTCATTAAATTATGCAAATTAATGCTTAAGTGCTACCTACCAAATTACTATAGGTAATTAAAAAAAAAAGAAAATTTTTAATAATTTAATTTATGAAAACATGCATTTTCTATCTTTATAAAATTTTCCTTACATATTTTATAATTTTTTTTAAAAAGCTATTACATATATTTAGAATTATTAAAAACTATATTTGCTAATTTTATAAAAAAAAACATTTTTTTTTTTTTAAGTACTGTTTAAAGTGTCTTAGCCATATATTTATTATTTATTCTGTAGAAATTTGAAATGAATTTATTTTCATAACTATAATTTATTTTTATTTGAATTTATTTAATATCATATTTTATGAATAACAATTTAATACGAATTTATTACTTTTTATTTAATACTTAAAAAGTTATTTGAGTCCTGTCATCAATGAAAAAAAATTGGGATTGTTGTCGATTAACTGTATTTTGTAAATAATTTATTAATAAATAATACAGAAGCTATAAACAATGAAAAATAAAAAGTTAATATGACAAATCAAACTAATAAATTAGTTTTATTTATTAATAAATAAAAAAAAATAATATTCCCTAGTGATGTGTAAATTTTTGGAACTAGTTATTATTGAAATAAAAAAATATGTATTTTACGAATCTGTTCCTAAGTATTTTATGGAACTAAAATGATCGATTAATTTACCATTATAATTATAATAAACAATTAGTACTTGTTTCATTGATTATTATTATTGTGTAAATTTTTATCAAGTAATTTGATTTAAAATTAATCGAACTAAAATAACGCAAATAACGCAAATATATGCCGATTTTAGTAAACATTAAAAGACGAAATATATTACAAAATACTTTAGAAAAAATATAGTGCATCTTACACAAAATAAAGAAAATGAGAAAATCGTTCATTTTTATTTCGAGGGGAAAACGGTATCGTTACGTTTTATCGTTTCGAAATGATGCCAGTAAAGTCATGTTGATGTCTTTTAATAAGTTATAACTAACGGAGGCACTTATTTTCTTTGTCCCGGGCTAATAATATATTTGATGTATTCCTTATTTCCTTTAGATAACAATACGAATGCGAAATAAAGATCGATTTGTATTATTTTTATTGAATGTCTACATACATAAGTGATATAAACAATAAAATTTGATAGTCTTGCCTGTAATAATATTAGGTGTGTTTAATACTTAAATCTTGATTGGAGCCGTGAAATCTTTGTTTTTGCAATGGATTTTCATGTAATTGGTAGTTTTTCAAAAGTATGTTTTGGAATACTTGAAGAAAAACACAGAACTTACTGTATAACAACTCTAAGATTGTAATATATAAAACACGCCATGTGTAGGTATAATTAGATTTTAAAGCAATAATTGTATATTTACAATAAAAAGTCCATTAAATAGAGTAATAATTAATAATTGTTATGTTAAAGTATGTAGATTACAATTATTATTATTAAAATAAACTGTCCTCTAAAATATTCGTGGTTATTTATATATATATAATATATATATAATGCAAGTAACAACTGATAAATATGCAATCATATATTATTTACCAAGGATTACTAATAGAAACCTGTAAATGTCATGATGTGTACAGCAATAGGTAGATAGTTAAAATGTTAAATATCTATTTATTTCGAAATTAATTTTTATACTTCAAACCATAAAATGGAATAACTGGTAAACATTGTATTGCGGGACGCCGTCAATGAGTGACTGCCATTATTGTTAACTAATAGAATTACGTCTGAAAGAGAAAGCAGTCTATAGTTTAATATTTCAATCTAACCTTTATATTAAAAAAAAATTAAACTGTACGTTTGATAAATAACGATGTTTCGTTTAAACTTACGGCGTTACAATATTATGGCCTATTCTAACTGATCGCACTGTGACAATTATTTTTCTATTATTTATTCATACCTAACTAGTAGCAATAAAATGTAATAACCTTATTTTACACATTAATATTATATATTATTTTATATGACTGATGGAAAAATGAAAAAAAAAAAAACAATTATTAGTTACATAAAAGTGCAATAAAGGAATTGTTGTGAATAATATTTTTATATTTTCTGTACCATCATCATCATTATGTAATTATACTAATACTGGTTAAACCTAATTACTTGTTCAAATGACCGGAAATAATCTATATAAAATTTATGAGGTGATTAGTACAGTTTGACAATTTAAACGGTTTTATAGAATTCGTTTGATAAAAATTGTATACACATCGTAATAATTTTCAAAGTATAGTCAATTTATCACTAAGTTGCATTTATGGAGTAGTAGTATGCCTGTGATCAATTCTTAATATCGTATGTATCAGGAGAAAATATTTTTAAATTTTTTTATTAAAGCCGTCAGTATTACAACACAATTACACAAACAAAAAATTAAAAATAAAACTTGACATTAGATTTAAAATATAATTTATTTAAATTTGCTTTGTTTGTAGTGTATGGATCAAATCGATTTATTTTTTTTTCGGCGTGGTATTACAAAATACATTTTAAGAATGTTGACGTGAAACGGCCGATTTCACGTTCAAATTTTACGGAGGTGGTTCGGAGGTCGACCGACTGAACTGGAATTTCGAGAGATATGTATTCGGGGTCAACTGGTTTGAGTTTTCTGAGTGCGTCTTTTGTGACTCAGAAGATGGCATCGTGTAGCATCCGAAGCATCCGTTCGTCGTCGTTGCTAGATTCGCTCGTCAATGTCGTCTCCGTCGTCGGTTTCGTTTTCACCAACGGAGTCGTCTTTGCTTTCCGTTTTGTCTTTGCAATCGACGTCGTCTTAGTTTTCATCGAAGTCTTCTTTGCCATTGAATTCGTTTTAGTCGCCATTGCTGTCGTCGTCGGTCTTTGATCGTCGTTTGGCCACGAACCGAATACGTATGTGCACTCGTCAATGTTGTACCAAGTCAGTGTTCTCGATGACATTTTGGACGATGTACTCTTGTGACTATTTACAGCGTACACGAATATCGATATGGTTTTCACAATACGTCATGTATAATAATTCTAAAAATAATAATAATATAAAAATAAAATAAATAACAAATAACTCACCTCAGAAACGACTAAGCACATGTGTTATTACTGGTATTGTGCTCAAGTATAATGTATAAAGAACATCTTCAATCATTTTCACGCGTACCTCTATAACGTACAATTATAGATTACAGGATTAATGTTAAAACTAATTTTAGCTCTAAGAGTTTTATTATTTTTTATGAAATCTTTAAGTTGAGTTAGGTTTTTTTAATGAAATGTATATCAGCGCAAATTGAATACATTATATTGTTCTTATTTTTTTTGACGAAACCACTACATAATATTATCATGCAACGTATTATTTTTAAGTGAAAACTTCTTCATTGATTTTAATTTAATAATCCGAAAAAGAGTATTTTATAAAAAATATTAATGCATGAACCTTGAGTTACGAAAATGATTATTAAAAAAAAAAAATAATATTCATTTCATAATATCAAAATTTTAATTTAATCGTATCAAAATATGTTGATACATTTTTAATGAAAATAGAAGCACGATTAAAAAATCAACTAACATACTTGTAAAGAAAATGTAAAAAATGTAAAACTGCTTGTCGTATTTAAATTTTATGAAAATATTATTTTAAAAAGATTTGATAACTTTCAAAATAATTAGTGTCGACAGTTAAAATAATCACTCTGTATGTATGCATCGTGTTTAATACATACATATATAATAACACAATTGTAATAAGTAATAACTAATAAGTATAATAACTATTATAATATTATACAACCTGTTTTTTCGCATATCTCGAGTGGTATATTATACGTATGTATGCGTATTATGTGAACGATGAGACATTATTTTGCGTCTCGTAATGTGGTCTGAAATAAATCACACCGGTTTATGGAATACTTTCGTAATTCGTAATACATCGTGTTGTATACGGTAGGGCAAGTGTAATGATGATTCCAATGGTTAATTTCGTTTAACCAGCTGATGGTGTATTTTCATTTCGAACGATTTGGATGACATAATTCATATAATATTATAGATCGAAGAGTTATAGTATTTTGTTTCACAAATTGCGTCGATTTTTTTTAACAACACTTAATCTGTAGTCTGTACAAACGAATCGTGATTGTATCAGATCCAAATTAATTATGTACGTGCCGCCAATCGAGTTCATCGTTTGTTCTTATTTTTAATTTTTTCCGTAAGCTTAAGAACAGAACATACTTCTTCGGCTCTATAATATCTAGGTACAGTTAATATATAATTTATCGTTTAACGTCTGCAGAACAGTGTATTATAATAATATCCTTACTCTGGTAAATTTTCTAAGGCCATTCGCTTAGATGATCGTGAAATGTGTGTAAAATTGCTTAGTTGTTATTGTGTTTACCTATATTATATCACTTTATAAAATAACAATTTCCTAATAAACCACAATTTACAGCACAAAATGTAACCACGGTGTAAAGTGTAGCACGTAATACTTACATATAAACGTGTAATAATAAACTAAGTGTGAACTATATTATTATAATATTAAACTGAAATTGAAAACTTTGTATTAAATGTTATCAAACACCGACTATTATATTATACGCTATTACGCTATAACATATTTCTTTCGTACCAGATTTATAACGAGTGTACAAAATAATATCGTACTACAACGACTTGTTTTTAATTTAATTTTGTTTGATGTGTATAGGTACCTAATAATATTATGTTATCGATATACAACATTTCAGAACGTAGAAATATATTAATACGTATTAAGTATTTATATTAAATGATCTAAATACGAATTCAATTACTAACATCTTATAAAAAAAAAAATTAATGAATTACCTATAACATATTAATTACGTACAATATATAGTATTATACTCTAAAAATATTGTTTAAGTATACAATTTTTTTTTTTTGTATTTTCAAAAAGAGAAATGATGTGTTAATTTATTTTAAATTAATATTATACACTATACAAAATGTAATTTTTGTTTTAATTTATCATATATTCGTGATGTTGTAGAGTCCTTAATTTTTTTTTTTTTTTAATAGATATATTTTATATTTTTAATTTTATAATCATAAGCAGAATAATTTTTCGAAAAATATTGATGTACCTATATTTAAAGTTTACGTAGATGGCTGGTGTAATTTATGTGTAATATATGTGTAATATGTCAAAAGCTGTGATCCATTACTCATTGGTAACTCTACTATTTCAGTCAAATATACTTTAAAATGCTTAATAATTAAAAAATATTCATTGCCGATATTTATACATCAAAATTTTAAGGAAAGCTTTTTCAATACTATATTTAAAAAAACTATCATATTACAACTTTTTTTTTTTTAATTATAAACCTTTTTTACGTCAATTTAATAGTACTCTAGAGCATTAAAACGTTCTACGTTTATTTTATTTTATAAGCTTACTTGACGTCTTATCAAATACCAGAATTTTTTTTTATTATTATCAAATCATATTTACTATTCTCGAGTATCTATAGTTTATATATATAGGAATAGATAGAATATATAGATATATAGTTATTATACAATATAATATTACTATTGTCTATATTCTTAAATTGCGGAACAGTCCACACAATGATAAAGTTCAGTCGAGTGCTGCTATTGACATGAGGATGATGACGTTTTAATAAGTGAAGATGTTTCATTTTACTCACTGAGAGTCACAAATAAAAAATGTTTGCGGTTAACCGATATTTGTTTGGAATTGAAAACTTTATTTCCAATATATTGATGTCCATTTTTATTTATACAAAAAACTACAGTGTGATTACGTAATAATAATATCTACTCTGTTAAAATGTAATTTATTTGTCAAAAAATTTGATAATATAGAAAAAATAAAGAGCGAATTCGTATAGAAAGTATAAGATTAATGTCAAAACAAACTATTAACATTATACTGTAAGTTTCAGAGAAAATCTTATGCAAAATGTAACGTTTTATTTTTATTTTATCAATATAATATTCCACGGCGTTGAGACATAAGTGGATATAAAACTCAAAATTCATAAACTGGTAATAGATAAGTAAATAATTCAGTTAAATCAAAATTGTTTAATTTGATAATTGTTTCAATCAAAATGCAAAAATTATATTGTTGTTATACTTGAACAAATCCGAGAGATAGATCGCAAGAAGAATATAGTGAATATACACTAAGAGTGAAACAAATCCCTTTATAATACTTATCGTTATTTATACAAAAGACCCCGGTTTACGAGTGTTTGCCAAGCGTACGATTCTCACACAAATGTAGACTTTACAGAAGTAAATTTGCGGTCCAATTTCCACGGAGGGTAGTGGATAATATTGTGTTTCATGGACTTTCGATTTTGCGATATAAAAGAAAGAGTATATTTAACAATACTCTATTATTCTTCATTGAGTTTGTGTTGTTATTTAACAATTTTTATAGATCGCAAAGAGACGAGTGATTTAAGTTGATTTAAAATTTATGCGTATATTAATTTTTTTTTTTGTATGTTATTTTTATTAAACTATTATTTATCATTACAAAGTTAATAATTCATCTGATTATAGACTTATTTACCTATTTAAACTTAGATAATATATACATAATAATAGTGATGTATTTAAAAACCACAGAATACAAATGTAAATATAATGATTATGATAATAATAATAATAATAATAATAATAATAATAATATTAATAATTAATAATATACAATATAATATTAGTTTATAATATGAACCGATTTTTCATTGAAATAACTAATATAAGTGATGAATATATATATACGAGTTATTCTGTCTTTACAAGTAGATAGGTCCTACTTATCCATAAAGCATTTTCCTTAATTAAGGTATTTGTACGATGGTTAAGAACATTGTTATTGTATATTGGTTAAAAGCCATAGTCGTTAAAGCTTGCCAAGAATATGTAGATATAAGGAAGACCTGGCAACATAATTGTCATTTCACGAATACAATTAAAATTCATGTTAGGTGATTTTCTATTTACATGTACACTGTATACGATAGGTGTTTAATCGTTTTCGAATAAATTTATTGTATTCGGTAATAAAGAGAGAGTGGTATTATTGTATAATTATTATACTTATTAACGAAAAAACAGAATTATATACATATTCAATTCTATACATAAGTATAATATTATAAATAATTGAACAGCGACCCTCTTGAATGTAAATCGTGCGGCGAAAATAACAGATATTAACGAATGCAGATAATTTGAAAAATGCCATTGAGAGGAAATTAAAATAAGTTATATAATTGCCTTATTAACAGTTTCGATTTAATAAATCTAAAAAATTAAAGGGATACCAATAAGTTCTTCAAATAAATACAAATACTGAATAAACTATCGATATCAATACATTTTTATTTAATAGTACAATTAATATCATTATTTCATATACCAAACTTATTTTATTGTAAACATGTCACTATACTCTAAATCTGTTATATTTTTTAATTTCGTATTAATTGTACAGTAGCTATTTAAAAAAAAATTATTTTGAGAAAATATTGTACACGTATAAAAATACATAATATGTAATGATTATGACCTAGTCCCCAAAACCAAAATATGTGTTCAAGACCAATAATATAAAAAGTTAATTTTAGGTACAAAAATAAAACTACTGCAAAAGTATAATAACAACTATAAGATTGACGGCCGTAAACACAGAATTTCAAAGAATATTACAACATACTGTAGAAGTACAAATGTTTAAAACAAACATTAAAATGATTGCACACAACCGCTCAACTAGTGATGAAATTTAATTATACATACATGTGCGTACTTTAAAATTTGAATATATACGAGAAAAATATAATATCGGCTACTGAATTTTTCAGTATGACGTCGTATTACATGTAGTACCTACATAGTCTGGTGGCCGCATTTAATATTCATGGCTTTTTTTTTTCAATATTTATCGACTTGATTTGCATATTGTGCTCGGAGATCACACTTATTTTTATCCATCGAGCCATTAGATTAGGCATTTATATAAGTACTATTTAAATGAGCTGAAACCAATGCGATTTCGGTCAGTCACCCACTGTCAACCAAATAGCGATTTTATTCGCTTAACATTAATATATTGTAGTGAATATACTGCTTTACTATTCATGGAATAATAAAATTGGTTATTCGAGTACATTAAGTATAGCATATTAAGTAACACTCATTCGATATAAATATTATTATTAAATAATATTTTTCTGTTGCCACGTGTATGATGTTTTCAACGCAATATTATTAAAATAATGAAATTTAAAATCAATAAAACGTAGTGATATTTAAAAGTTGTAAGGCGTAAAACTTCCATATCAAATGTTAGTAAACTGAACGTTAACGTGAATGAGGTTTTCTTATGTTGAATATTAGAGTTTGTTAAAACGTATATTATGTTATTTTTTTGTCACCAGATAATATTTACTTTTATTCTACAGTATTTTTTTATTTTTTTTTACACGCTTTATGTCATTCTATCTGTTGACACGATAGTTCTTAAGACAAATAAGTTTGTTGACACTGATTTTAATCAATAAGCATAAAAATGCCAATT